AGAAAGGAAAAAACATTATTTATTAAGTCTTCTAATTTTAAATGATTATTTCAATTAGTTTTGATATAACTGCAAGGTAATCGATCAAGCGTTATATTAATTCAGTTTATAGAGTTGCAATTCCTGTTAAGAAACTCATATTTCACTCGAGACGTACATATCGAGACCCTATAATCGCCTGACTAAAAACTTCTTTAAAATTGCGAGGAAAAAATATGCTAATGGCAAGTAAAAATAATATAAAATGTTATCATTATGTTGTTTTGAATGAAATCATAGAGAAATAAAGATGAATTCACACAGCGGTTCATTCATTTGCTTAAATATCATATTACAATACTCTCATTAATTATTTGACGGATATATTCTTGGCAAATTATACAGTTCTCAACGCGGCTAATCTTTGTTGACATTCGGTGTTTGATTTAAGCGAGCTCTTACATATTGATCATTATATGTCAAATGTATAATTCGCTGATCCAAAGACAACAGCTCTAAATAGATATCTATCTGCACCAAAGAAATACACTACGTAACTTGTGGGCAGTCAGAGAGATTTGAGCTTAATAAAGATAACAATGAGAAGCAGAATAGATGAAAATGGATCGTAATATCGCATGCAGTCGAGAAATGTCGAGCTTGCCGCGCGACGAGTTGGACTTCCAACACGACGACCAGAAATACTACAAAGCGGAGTGCCACTTTGTTGACAAATAAATTTCTAAAAGTGAGAAGTGCCTGGGCACCTTTTCAGGGTAGCAAGAGCAATGAAAGCGAATACAAAGTGCGGGGTTCGCGAATAATAGATGACCACGAAAGCGTCGACTGCGTCGTCGATAAATTAATGCAAAGCAACGAAAAGAATTGAAATCTGCAGTGGAGGTAAAGTCGTTGCAAATAACGAACGGCAGAAAGATACGACTACGACGACGGATGTCGTGCTGACGTAAGTCTGAAAAGTCGAAAACTCTCGTTGAGGACGACAATTTATGACATTGGACATAAATAATCTGATAAATATATTTAAAAAATAGATTCTTCGAAGTGAATTAAATTGGAGAATTCAACTTTTCTTTAATGAACATTTAATGAAGCAGCATTCTTCTTCACAACGTTTTGATTTCTAATTAAGTTGAATAGCGCAGTGTGTGTGTAATTAAAGATAGATATATTGAACTTGAGTTTGCTCTTGAAATTATCGTTAACGAGACTTCATAACTCATTTGCGTTTCAGAAAAATCATAGAAGCGAGGAACGCCAAAGTCTCCGACGGAGTCCGGCCGTGGAAGCGTTAGCTCGCATAATGGATGTCCACAACGACGGGAAGGAGGGCGAGGGGAGAGGTGGAAAACGACGAAGAGCACGACTACCATGAGAGAGAGAGAGAGAAAAGGCGACATCAGGGGGCGATAAGGAGCCGGCAGAACGGATGGAGGAACTCCCCGGCGAGCGCGCGGCCGGAGGGAAGGAAGAGAGGCGGCAGTTAGGATATGAATTATGACGTGGTGCGAGCGAGAAAGACGAATCGAGTTGGTCGCATAGGTCGTTACGAGGCTCGAGAAGGGAAGCGCGAAGCCTGCCCGGGGAAGTAGAAGGCAAAAAAGCGCCATCCGCAACGATACGCGGCGGCGCGGGGAAAAAAGGCAGTGCCTCGCTAAACGAGCGCACCCCCGACAATGACTGTGACGATGACTGTGACGATGACTGTGACGATGACGACGACGACGACGACGAGTGACGAGGAACGCGTTAACCGCGACGAATGGCTTTCGAGCCGGCACATACCAAACGGGGAATCCGGTACCAAAAATCGGTAGATTGTACATATGGTTATGTATGTACCAGCGCAGATGGGGAGTCCAAACCAAAGCGCCAAGATCGTTTACCAACCGCGACTCGTGCTGATCGTGGCAATTCACATTTCACGCAAGAACCTCACGAGAGTCTTTTTGTGAACTATAAAATATTTAAGAATCTCCTCGATATTGGTCACAAGCAAAATCGAAATGACGAACCGTGTACTATATTAATCAAATGTAAATAAAATGTTAAAATAAAACTTGACCGTTTACATTGTTGGCGCTGAAATTACTGGCATCATTCATTTTTTTCCACCTGCATTCCACTAATGTTATTAATATTCCCGCTTTATCTTATTGCCTGCAACTATTTCAGGCTCATATATCCCTGGTAAGCCCATCAACTATCTCTCCGTGCGGTCTTTTTAATATATCGCCGATCCCGATCTTGTCAACAACTGTAGCCTCCTTTTTCACCGAATCTCGGGGGGCTTGTTTCACATTCTAAACAAGTCGTATCTACTTATCCATCTACCATGCAACATCCGCCGTCTGTCGCGCGCTCGACTGCATTTCTACGTCACTAACGCGCATTCCACGATGCACCTCTGTCCTTCTTCATCTCCTTGCTCTTGTTCGACCGCGGTGCCCGTGCCCACCGTCGACGTTCGCGATGATCGCCCACTGCTTCTTTCTCCTCTCCCTCTCCCATCGCTTTATTCTACCCCGTCTATTTTTGAACTCGTTGAAAAGCCATGGAGAACAGCAACTTTCGCACGCGCCGCCATGTTTGTGGAATGCTCGTTCTGATCAATGTTGCTGTCAGAAAAAAAATTCAAGGATTTCTCGCTAATTTACCATATTTCCTTTTCTATAATTTCCCTAACGCAGATCATTAATTAATGATCAATAAAAGATCAGAGAGAACGCCGCTTGAGGCACAAGGAACATTAGAAAATACTTAATATAAACGTGAAATCCTGCGAAGCTTCTCTCTGACTTCTGCTCAGCACGAAAGGGCATTCAACATGCTGGCTATCATCCCGAAGAGGCCTCGATGATCGAGATGACGATCGGTCGACGACATTCGACGCGTCTGTTCAGGAAGACGTGGGGTAAAGAAAAAAAAGAAACGGCGACACACAGGCAGACGGAAGAAGCTCGGAGGCGACGAGGAAACCGCAAAGAACGATAATGACGAGACGAGAGGACGCAGAAAGCGAGAGGCACAAAAGAGAGGACGCCGTGGAAGAGAAACTGGCCCGAGGTAATTGCCGGGGCGTCTCTTCGCACCTCATCATCATCATCAACAGCCGCGTCGTCCTCGTCGTCGTCGTCGTCGTAGCCGTCGAGGGCCCCCGGGACCACCCGTTAGAGTCCCCGACGCCGATTCCGTCAGTTTTCGTCTGCATCGGCAGACGAAGCGCGCCGTCTTCGTCAAAAGCTTCGCCGAAACGATGACAAGCCTAAGCAACGATCGGACAACGTGGATAATGATCGAACACTCGATACTTATGCGAGAAACTTAATTATATCAGAATGATATGCCACGGTAGATTAGACATTAACTCTTTCATATTTTTAATTGGAGTCACGATTATTGTTATGTATATTTCATACGCGTTGAAATCATTTCTCCTTAAATCATCCAAGTACAAATATTAGTTTTTTAATGAAAAACTAAAGAGAAGATAATAAAAAGAATATAACATTCAAACTCCAAGTAAATATTACATTCGCAAAATAATTAATTTAGTTAATAAATTTAATTAAAGTACAAAAGAAATTAGTCGTGCTAAATAAAAATGCGATCGTTCTATAATACAAAGATTTTTGTTCTTGATAACAGAAACAAGCAGCATATCATGCCACGTGCGTCACAGCTCTTCAAGAATTAAAGCGAGGAATTTCGCCCGAATCGAACTCGAGCTGTGCCTGTGCGTTCTCCTACGGAAAAAAAGCCTGTCATCCCTCGAGGGGATTCCACGACCGCCGTGCTGCTTCTCGCGGCAACAAGAAGAGAGATCGATTAAACGGGACCGGGATAAGCATCGGAAACGATGCCAGATAGTTGTCCGTTGTCGCCTCTGAGAATCATAGATCTTACCTACGTCGAGGTCCGAAATTCCAGCCGCGCCGCCGCCTCGCCGCGGCGCAGGGGGGGGAAACGACGAAACTGAGCCTGCTCGACGGCGCGGCGGCGATGGAACGGGACGCGCCGCGACGCCCGTGGAATGCGAACGACGCTGACCTGGACCACACATGACGCCGCGGTCGGCTCTAAACGACTATCGTGAAATACGATAATGCCCGTCGTTCTCGTGCGCTGAACACGGAATCTGAACTTGGACACGGAAGACGGCTCGTCGAGAGATCGGGACTACGACTGGCAGACGGAGACGGAGGCACTCTACTCTCCTTATGATCGTCTCGACTGTTGCAAGTACGCCTTTTGGTAGTTGCACGCTGTGTTCTAACAATGGCGAGCCTATTTGAGGAATATCGCGTTCCTCTGGTATACATCTGTTACCTCGCTCGTTGTGTAGCCTATTTGTCTATTTGTGAGTCCCACAAAATGTATTCTAAGCTAGTGTCCAGCATATATCCAACTCTTATATATTACTTAATATAAAATATAAAATTGTATTAATCCGAATTCAATATATCATAAATCTATGAAAAAAAGATATGTTTCTCACTTCATATAAATTGTGAGATGGGAAATCGTTATCAAATCGCGACAGCGAATATTAACAAGTACGCAATGTATAATGTTTAAAAAAATATTAGCAAAAGCTGTAAAATATTTCATGTATCATTGTATTCGATACGCAGAAAGGAAGCAAACGGATCTCTCGATACGCGAGCTCGATACGACAGCGTATCCAGCGGCACTCGTTAACGCCGACGTATCCGCGAGGTGTTACGCCAGTGTCTTCGCTCGCTCTCGACAGAAACGATTATCGAGGATGAAAGAGAGCCGCGGCGGGCGAAATGGAGGAACCAGTCCCGTGCGGCCGAGACGTGGCGAGACGCGGAGGACCGGAGGCGACCGGACGGACGACCGGACAGACGGTTACAGGCCCGCCGCGCCGTGGCGAAGGAAGGACGGAGCGTGCGGGAAGACGCGAGAGAAAGAGAGCGAGCGGACAAAAAGAAAGGCGGGAGTGCAACGGTAGCGAGAAACAAAGTGAAACTTACGAGCTGATTCTGATAGGCGGTGACAGCGGTGAATATGGCCTCCGGGAATATGAAGGTCTTGTGCGGCTCCTTCTCCAGGTCCACGATCTGCTTCGCCGTGCCCGAGTCCGGCCGCTTCACCAGGTGGATCCTCGGCTGGTACTTGTGCATGGAGTTCAGGACCAGCTGCAAATTATCGCAACTGTATCGCCGGCGTACAACTAAATTGTGAATATTCGCAAGTAAACGCGGGAGCCCGGTGAACGCGCGATTTTCCAAATAGACGCTTCTCACCCTTTATCTCTCATCCCTCTGCTCGCGCCCGTCACTGAAGTGACGAGAGTTTCACAATAGTTATTCGTACGATCTAAAACGTTCGTGCTATGTATCTGATCTTTGTATGCCAAGTGCATAACGCTATAAATGTGTCTGCCATTCATCTATAATTGATGCTCTTCAGTTTTCGATACGTTTTTTTTATCATTATTTATAAATTATCATTTGCGCACGTGAAATTTAAACGACTGTTCTTTCTCAAGTCATGTTATAATTCAAAGAGATGGATGGAAATAACGTTGCAGTCGAGAGATCTCTCGACGCAAAAATCGCGAGTGTCCGATTTCCGTCCAATTAAAGGAACGAAGTAATTGAACGATTCGACTAAACGATATGGATATCGTCAGATAGTTTCACGCGTCTCTTTGTGCTTCGCATTTCCAGCCCTCATTTCGAAGGGCACCATTAGAGTTCTCGAATCGCTGACGGCTCATCTTTTCCCGGTGACGAAGACGCGAGATTACATCGAGTTTCACGTTGCGTTGACTTTGGTCGTTCGGGGATTTGAATCGGCGACGAAGCCGAGGGCGTGCGATAGCATTAACAACAACGGCGGGAAGAAAAAGCGTATGAATTAGGAGCGTTTCGGGGCCGGGCGCGATCCCCGTTACCGTTCAAAAGAATCACTTTGCCCGCGTCTGGCAGCGTGTAATACCCTGAATACAAAATGAGTACCATGAAGAAGCGCTGCCCCGATCGGAGTTCCTATTTCCGTCAGTCATCCGATGAATTAAGGGCCCCGATGCGCCGGCGAGAAAGAGGATCTCGGGCTGACAATGAGACGGAAGGAAGGGGGAGGGGAGGGAGGGGACCGAAAGAAGAGCGAGGTGGGCGAAGACGCGGCTGAGATTCCCGTGTCTTATGACAAACGAGACAACGGACTGTCAAATTATCCCGTGAAGCGACTAAATCGCGCTACGATGAAATTCGTTTTATCGGCGTCATTTTTCTCCTTTTCGTAAACGAGACGTGCGGTGGGTCGCGAGGTTGGTTGAATTTGCGGTGATGACATCATTGATGGCTTTTTGATTTCAGAGCAACGTGAGGAACTGACTCAATTAATTCTCTTTCTCTCTCTCTCTTTCTCACTCTCTATAGATATCATGATATTCTTTCCAAATGCGAATACAATCTCTACGCATTGAAAAATCACTCGTATGTCATCACTTCAATTTTCTTGTAACTTCAAGCCTTTCAAAATTCTCTATAAGCGCTTCGCAATGTCATCACCGTTGAACTTTACCGGCTGCAAAGTCGCTTATGCAAGCCTGGCCGTGTCACGCTGTGTGTGGTTACGGAAAAAGAAAATTATCCGGAGAAAAATGTATTTCGAAACGATGTGAAATGCGGGAGGGTAAGATAAACGCTTTACGCGACAAGGCGAAATGCCGCCGTGTTGCGTTCCACTTTGCTGAACTTTGTTGAACCTAACAATCGATCGCCGGTCGATTTATTAATGCAACAACCGGAGGACGCGGTAGGCGTGCACTCGCTGTCTTCGATGCCGACAATGTCGTACTTTTAGCCGCAGCTGCGCCGAGTAACGCGTAAAAGTTTAATGCGCGAGTTGTCTCGGGACGATCGCGTCTACTACCCCTCTCCTCCCTCTCCCCTATTGCGAGAAAATGTAGAAAATTCCCCGTCCGTCAGAAAATGTCGACAGTTCGATAGAGTTCTCACTGCACATGCGATAATGAAAACCAGCTAAACAGAGTGCTGTTTTTTTATTTTTTTCGAAGACGTGGTTGTTTTTTTATGGAATCTTGTTTCTTGAGACATGGAGATTTAGGAAATTTTAATCACTTATCAAATTTTTATCTTTAAAAAATATATAGGTATATCTTTACGGCAATCATGAGATTTAAACATAATCCTAGTAATACAGCAGAATATTTTTCTTAACTATAAATATCAATATATTAATTATTATCAATGCTTTTCTATCGATATGTAAAACACCCACTTTTTTCAAATAAACTTAAAAAAAGATATTAAAAAGATTGTAAAAATTATTCAACGAAATATTATAAAATAATTATAATTTTGTGCCTTTCTATTTTCACATAAAATTATAATCGATATGTTTTCTTTCCTTATTTATCCTTTCTAATACTAGGGTTACACCTCGGGTTACATCTGGGAATGAGAAATAAGGTGCAAGCAAATTTTATTCTATCTCACTTATCACCGGTTCGCGGATCATTCAGAACGACGGCAAGGAATTTTACATTCGTCTTGGGAAATCAATGCGCGTTACTACGTAAACGCGCGCGAATCGCGCGATTATTCATCTTACAGTTGTAAGAACTTAATAATAGAGATTGATCTTCGTGGCGGTCTGACAAGTGTCACGAGAAATTAACCGGATGCCTTCGTGCGCGAAATAGACAGTCGAACGAGGCTTATTAATTAATTAATCCAATAAGAAACTTAACACATCCGTCGCAACGCGAATTGGAGTCTGCACTTCGTCGGATTTTGCCTTTTATAGCGAGCCGATATAGAAACGCCGGAAGTACGGAGATAATTCATACAAAATGATCAGCGTTGAACTGCTAAGTTTTTATTCACAACTTCATTGAGTTTGAAAAGCTAATTCGATCAGCGACACGAAACTAATACGCTTTCCGTCGTTCCTCGTCTCGTCTTTACTTATTCAACGTCCTTCGAAAATTGACGGAAATTATCATAGCAATTCAATTATTGTGCCAATCTGCGCGAGTTCAGCGATTGATCTTAATGAGACAGGGCGAACGGGGGGATGGGGAAGATTTTTCTAAAGATACTCACGTGCCCATGCCTGTCCATGTCGTTGTTGGTGAGCTTGACTTTCTCGAAGGAAACGACCTGCTTTCGGAGCTGCTCGCCCGTGAAAGGCGAATCCGGATGGATGTAGAGCCGGGCTGGCGCCGGCGGATCTGCCTTTCCGGCCACCAACCAGCAGCTCCTGTGATATGCGTACCGATATCTCTTATTGTCGACCGGCACGATGTCCATCAGGACCGCATATCGGCTGTCCGCCTTCAGTCCGTTAAATGAGACACGACACGTCGGAAACATCCGCCTGCGCAAACACGAACGTATCATCCGTCAAAGGAGAACTCCTTAGAATTCTTATCAAAACTAACAACTACTCCCAAACAGTTTCCAACTACTAACGTAATCGTCGTCCAAATTAATGATAATTTGGTTTTATCAATCGTTTCGTAAGTAATCGGAAATCAAAGCTACAATTCTTTAAATCGTTATTAAATAGCTGAGATTCTCTCGACTCGATACAGAAACCATAAACTGTTTACTAACGATTCTTTTATAAAGCAGTTCTTAGAATAACATTTATGACTGTTGGGTAATAACTAAGACTTAATTGATTCTCCGTCTTCTGCTAATGACAGAACCAGAATTCTCTTTGGATATTTTGAATAAAACAAAAGCGTCGCGTGTTTCGACAATCAATGATCCGGGATGGTTCGCGATAATTTTAGGGTTGACTCGCTCACGGTCATTGAAGGAGCACGAGAAGAGAATAAGCGAAGAAAAGGGGCCGGCAGAGGAGACGAGGGGGTGACGGGCCCGGACTTGGGATTAGTGGCGAGGGGACCGCGGGGGCAAAGGACCTGGCGTGAATGTTTTGCCTCGGAGGCCAAACATTAATACCGTGTCGGGCCCCCCGCTGCTCGACCACTAAAACGCGGGGACACCCGCCGATCTTATCTACGTCTTCTCCTCGGTCCTTGTCGACTCGGTATGCATTCATCCCGCCAGCGCCACGAGTGTGAGTAATGCTTTTATTTATCAAGCCGTCTTTTGTTAATGAATTGAACGAGGGAGAAGGTGGACCCTCACCCTCGCACCACACCGCCCCCAGCTCCCCTCTCCCTCGTTTGTGCCTGATTTTCAACCCTCCTTCCCCCCTTTCGCACGACCATTTCTCTCGTGACGCGGGCACAAACATCAAGAATGCCTGCGACTTTTTTTCCATCGGATTATCCGCCAAATTCCCGTCTCGCCGAGAGGATGGTGGCTTTATGCAAAATGTGTCAGAAAACTCAGTCTGAGCACCAGGAAACATAGAAATCCTTAAAAATAATAAACTGTCTTTTAGACATCTTTTAAACAAAACATATTTACACTGATAGAGATTTTTAAGCCAATTATTCTTTAAGCAGTTATTCTTTAGCGTTTAGCAAATGTTAAAATTACGGTCATCGGTATATAAAATAAAAATTTAAATTGTATATTCATTAAATGAAATGAAAGGACAAGTTTTTATAGTATTAAATGTATAACCACGATTAAATATAATTCACTAATTTACACGATCAATATTTTACAACTTCGCATTTTGCAACAGAAGTTACATAAAAGTTGCCACATTCAAGAAATCTATGAGCAAAGCATGAGCAAGGAGGTTGAGTTCTGCCCTGAAAATCTCCATAGACAGCGAGAAGCGTAATGGAAGAAAGACAAGAGAAGGGGTCGCCGCGAGGGTAGTTCCAGGACTGCCTAGCGGAAAGTCTAAGGGACGATAAGGGGCGGTAAGTTGACGGCTGAAGGGAGCGTCGACCAATGTCGCTAAGACGCAGATCTAATTACCGACGCACGAGTAGGCGCGCATCCAGCTGGAGGAACGAATCCCCCGCCGAAGGGGAAAACCTACGACGAATAAAGAGCAGGGATGTTGCCCGTCGTGGCGGGCAATTAGGCGCGCGTCGGCCGCGTCGTCCCTCCCATCTTTTCCGCCTCCTTTTTCTTCCGGAAAGTCTCTCGGTTCCTTGAGAATTCCGCCAGTGTTATTCTACGCGACCCATTCTCGCACCCCATCTTGTTAGACCGTAGCTCAGGGCTGGCATTCTTAATCCTCCCTTAATACTTGGTAAATGCGTATAAAAGAAAATTTTTGAACTAAAAAAAAAACTAAAAAAATGTAAATTATATGGTACGGTATTACGATTGTAATTTGTAGTATAATTTAATTAAATGCAATTCTTTCACGATTATCGACCGATAAACAGGATTTTACTTACGTGACTCGCCACATTTTACCTTTTTTTTTTAATAACGCAAATTGCAATTATGTTAAAAATGCGTTTCTTATTCTACGATCAATTCATCTTATAAGAACATCACATCGATACAAAAGGCTATTCTACCTCGATAGTTAACTTCGCGCGTCCAATGTTAGCATTTCCGTCGTTAAGTCGAAGATATATGTTTGAGAAGGTGGTATATCGCGAGCCTCGAGACAAACCGCGAACATAAAACTTCTCGACTGCCTTCCGCGAATAGGCAGCCCTGAGAGAGATCCCTCCCTAGAATTCTCCCCTCACAGTGTGATCCCACTCGAATCCTCACGCCTCCGATCGCCACCGCTTGTCCCAAGGACCCTTATAAACTGGCATAAGCTCGCCCGGTTTCTACACCGGCCCGACTAATTGACTGACGGTCAATATAGCAATTTAACCCGCCAGCTTGCCACCAGCTCGTTTTCCGCTTTTTATTCTCCTACCTCCCCTCTCCACGAGACCCTCTCCCCTTTCCGTCTATGCCTCCCTGGGCTCAGGTAATCTTAACTCTTTCGCAGTTTTATATTACTGGAGTATATTTGTGTGTGTGTGTGTGTGTGTGTGTTCTTATCCTTTTATTTGTACGATATGTTGCATTAGGTTACTTTCTTGTTATCCGCAATTGAATTTGTTTACTCACAAAGAGGCTCGCGAGCGGAAATGTTATACGCGTACACGTGTGTTAAAGCTTACATTTCACCTAACCGATTACTTCTTGCTGCGTTTTTATACTCCCGAACCAATTGAGAAGTTTTACGTTTAAGTCTTTACTCTTTTCTCTCCCGCCGTTTCCGAGTTCGTGCTCCATACCGCGTTTATAACGTTTTTTTTATTCGCGATCTCCAGTCACTTGTTAAATAACGTCGGTTTACCGCAGCATAGATAGTTGCATCGATCCCACTAATATTCTCGCCAATTTTCTTTCTCTTTCCTCTCTCACAAGTCGATTTTTTTCTTATAAATAAAAATTGCAAAAGGTAATGGACTTTGCTGTGTGACAAAAAATTTACATCTTTGAAAATGTTATCTTCCTTAAAACAATGACGAGATCTTCGAACTCGTGTCACTTCATATTTTTATCATTACTTAATTCGTATTTCGCCAAGAGTTATAGTTTTCGCATCACGTATTGTAAAAGATTGATCTCAACAAACTTTTAGACTGCTGATTGTTCCCCGAATAATATCGTTCTCTTTCCCCTCTTTCCTCGCTCGATTCCCGCGATTAAAGGATCGTAATTTCAATGCGATTAGGACGTTTGCTTATGTTTCGGTGTAACGTGTCAGGCGAGTGACAGCTTGCTCAGGGTAACGACACCTCTCGCCCTAACCCTAGCCCGTTTCTATCGCCGGGTCCCCCCCCGGGAATTTTCGTGGGTGTCGCGTCATGACCCGTGGCAGGACGTGATTGAGTTTGCAGCGACATCGCCCCGGGGGCGACGGCGGTTTCGGGACGAGGACCGAAGGGGTGAGCGGCCGCGAGTAATGAGAAAGAGTCAATCGCCCCGACGTTGTCCAGGAGAGAAATTCAGCCTGCGATGCATTAGCGGTACATCGTCCCGAGGGAATTCCCCGGAGCATCTGGTTGCCTCGGGGATCGCGTTTATCTCCTTCCCCTCCCCTTCCCCTCGAGAAACGAGTCTGGAATTGTTTCCGACTGCGAGCCTTCGATTAATCGTCGTAAAACACGCGCGACACTGTTCTCATTCTATCTCGGCATCAACGTGCAACAAAATAACAATCATATCTCGGGCTCTCAAGTATTGTTGCACGCAATTTTATATTTATCGTTCGTTATGTCAACTTTGACGCTGGCGGAGATAACTGCAGATTGCGTGCGATTTGTACGTATTACCGAATCATGTTACACAATGCAGAATTACGTAATATGCATCAGATACTAAAAATAAAGTTTACTTCAAAATTGAAATTGTGATATACTAAATAAAACGATTTAACTACATGCAATAATTTTAATAATTTTACATCTTAACGACATCGTTGAACTTGAAAATTCGACGATCACCGATGGCGTGATTAAAATTTATCGATGTCCAATCTGAAGTGCTCACAGTTATCATCGATATCGACAAATAAACCAACGTTATACGATCCAGATATCGATCAGCCTCTTAGACAGCGGAAGTTGATAATTTAAAGTACTTTGACCTTACCTGCCGGTCTTTGTGATGATCATCTCCGTCCCGAGCTCGTTGAATTTGTCCCAAAGATCCTTGGTCTCGAGATGGCACACCACGTGCCTCAGCTCCTCGCAATTCGAACGCTCCTGGAGCAGAGGATTCACCACCGGCGAGACGCCATTTCCACTCGTGCTTCCGGTATCGTCCGTTTCCGGTTCGTCCTCCGGACTAACTGTCTCCGAAATCGGCGGAGCACCGCGTGCGACCCCAGAACCGCTGGCTTCCCTTTCTGCAATCCATATTTTCGCAATGTTCAGTAATTATCGTGCGCGACATTAAAAAATGTAATATACAGGGTATTTCTAAATTATTTCTAAATAAAAATTTCTTAAAAAATAAAACAGGCTGTAACTCGGAAACAAAGTCATATCGCACATATATTTATATAAACTTTTTTTTTTTTAATTTTTGTGTCCTGAATTCACCATCGTAATACTTCCCACTAATTTGGAAACACCTCGTACGTCTGTAAGCTCTATAATATAGTGCTATATAATACTGAATTATCCTCTCCAGAACATACTCGTCGCCGCCGTCATTACTACGAATTATTATCCACCTCACAGCCGCGGTTTTTATATTCGCCATCAGCGCACCGCTGTACACGGGTACACGACCGGAAACGACCGCGAGAGGGAAACCGCTTCCGGCACGATCTGATATAAAAATCGAGGATCGCTGAAGCGTAGTAAAACCTCACTGCAAGCGGAGGCCGGTCGCGCTTAAGGACCGACATTTATCACTGCCGTGTCATTGACGCTCGTTTTTATCCGTTCAGCCGTAGTCACTAAAATAGCAACGACGAACGGGAGTTAACGTGAATGAACCGCGCTCGATGAATATTTAAGAGCCGTTCAATTACAGTTATATCTCGCCGTTTCGCGACGATGTTTTCCTTGCGAGCCGCGGCACTTTCGCCGCCGCCTCGCGCGGCGTACGAAATTAAAAACGAGGCCCGTTCATCGATTCGTAATTTACGGGAGGCCGCCCATTACCGCAAATCGTTATTAATTTTGTCCGAAGGAGCCGACGCGCGCGCGCACATATTCCGATAACTCGATTCTAAATTACGTACGTACAGGCCTCAGAACCGATTAATATTTATCTCCGTGCGCTCTTTTATGTTGCGCCGAACCTGCATCCTACTTGCGCCGAGCCTGCAAAGTTTTCAATTCCTCTCGCGAGGAAATTCTCGCGTTTACGTATGCGTGGACGTTAATGAAAAATCGCTTTCGTGACGCGCGATTTATCGCTTATTCGACAACTCTATTAGCGGAATAATGAAGAAAGGGAGTGTCTCCGATTAAGATTTTAATCGGAAATTAAATGAATGTTGAGAAGCTGAAGATGTTTGAACGGGAATAAACGGTGCATCGAAACGATGTCATTCGAGACAACATCGCGAAGATCTCGATACATAATATAAAATTATATTAAACAGTATTTAAGTAAGAAATGCCATATAAAATCAATAACGATATAAATGTTTTATCTACTTTAATTAATCCAGTTTAAATTCTTGTTTTTATTCTTAAATATATATCAAGATATCATCGGACAATTTTCATTGTTCGGCACGGAAATGAGATCGTATCGCGGTTGTGTTAAAGCAACTTGGAAGATACGGCACGAGAGGTGTGAGGTGAGGTTCTGAGAAAATCGCGTTGATTAAAATGACTCACTTGATTAATGCCTCAAATTAACTTGGAGACGTCGCATTAAGGTGTTTTATTGAGGTGTTTTATTTTGCATAGATCGTGCTAATCTGCTGCGTTTATACGCGCAAATGTCCCCGTTTACATGCACGCCGATTCAGCCGCCTACCGTCGTGCACGCAGTCCCGCGCCGTTCAATCACATCGACGTAAATCTAAGCGTAATCCATTTGGCGGTGGTTATAGGTATCCAGCTATCGATGATAATATATCGTCGCGTCGGTCGCGCGATAAGCGAGCTCCTTCGACAGTTCGGCATCGCGATCGATTATAAATAACGCGCTCTGCGAACGTTCCGCGCGAGAAAAGCCAGCTTTACAATTATATTACGTAGATTGTTTCCGATTTTAATGACGCAAGGGAAAAGTAATCGGCTGATAAAGCGACGTATTGCCGTCGACGGTGATTAATCGTTGCGCCACGACGCACGGGGCGACAGGAAGTCGAGCTCTCTTTTCAAGATACACGCGAATTTCTACAGGATGTGATTGTACGACGCGAAGATTGTGTGCTCGGCGCATGTAACTCGCCGGCGCAAAGGGTTCATTTTATTTTAACGACGGTCAACCGTTGTTAAAATAAATGCAATTTTAAAACAGATAAAACTTGCGCAAAAAAGAAAAATAATTAAAATAGAGATACATTAAATTGATTTCATTTGTCCAATAAAATAGAATAAAATTCTTTTCGACACCACTCGTAGTGAAATCGTGGTTTGCGCAACGTATACGCCGCACCGACGAAAATATCCTGACGTGATTTTTTAATAAATTTGCAGCTCATTTTTCGTGGCTTTCCGATAAGGGTCTTCTCCGCGCGCGCAGTTGAGATCAGAGTTATTTATACCTAACGGGAATGCGAGACCCAGCATCTGCCATTTTAACAGGTCCCTTCTCCGCGTAATTCGCGGACACGTATTTACCACGTGCGCCTTCGCGCGAGCGCGTTTCCATGGTAAGAGCCGTCGTTGTACTCGGGGAAACCGTAATAAACTTCGTAATGGGCAGTTACGAAGTACCGACCTGGCTGGTATGTCAGGTGCCGGCTATCAATTTTGCACGTTGATGCCGCGCGCGCGAAGAATTAATTGTCCATTCGGCATAAGGCGAAATCCGGCGCGTCGGTATTATGGCCTCGCCACTTTTCCGGTTTTCTCTCCGCGAAAATCCGCAATTGATCGCCGTACACAACCCTACGTAAACCGTGCACGTTTCTCTTTCCTTACCGGAAAAAGAGCACGTAAAAAAAAAAACAGCAAAATTTCAACCTAGCTAATATAATACGATATTCGATAGAAGGGCTGGCGAACTAGCCGGGTGTTATTGCTAAAATATTATATTACCTTAGAGCTAGTGCGCCAGCCCTTCTATCGAATATTGTTTTATACAAAGCGAACAGTTAGTTATTGTTTAATATAATACAATAGTAAGCTAAAAGCAGGGCGAAAACACCGCGCGAAATAAATACGTACAAGTGTAACTGATTGCCAGTATAACTGAATTTCACATAATTTGATAAATATAATAAAAACGACTGAACAAATATCCCAATATCTCACGATTAATGGCATAACAGTTCTTTTCAATGTTACTTCGATTTTATACGAATGTATATTACGCGCGCGGCGAAGATAAATCGAAATATTCACATCGCGATTTTTAGATCTCTTATACAGGGCAAACGCTCACCGATACACAAACGAGGAAGTAACGCGGTAGTAAATAAAGTCTCTTGGTTTACCTTAAGTTACTGCAGGTTATAATTTCACGTACCGCCGCTTTCCTGGCCGGCATCACGCTAATAACGCTAAACTAAAGCAAGCCCCATCGTAAGTGGATAATTATCCTTTTTCCAGGCGCTACCGCGCGCTCATTACATCGCTCGCCGACCGTGTATGACCGTCGTGCCGTAATCGAGGACATTAGTCATATTGTATTTAATAACGTCTAAACCGCGGCCTGAGATCAGAGAAATGATCCTCGAAGCTTCGGTCGATGTTATTGATCAGCCGTAAAAATGATTGACGGTAATACGTGCCACGAATTATCCAGTTCGATATGTAAATTATCCTCACGTCCTTCGTTATTTCGCCCCGTACATACACCACGCGCATTTTGCGGTAAACGCGGCCATTCAATCCCCGACTACCTTGTGCAAGAGAGAGAAAGGAAAAAAATTTGCTTTACAAAGAAATAAACTCTAAAATCGAATGAGTGCGTCTTGCACTCTTGCATGCATACAGTTTTCCTAGTGCAAATTGACATCGTAAGTTATTATAGTACTCTCTGTATAAATTACAATGCATAATGATCGCAATCTCCATTTTGTTCTACGTATTTCGCCTTGCGTCGACCAACCTTCCTGCCTCCTGCCTCTGTATCTTAAATGAAATATATTTTATATATTTTATGAAGTATCGAAAGTACGCATTACGATTGATATCGTATGCGGCGCATACATTATGTAAAATTATCCCGCGATTACATCTCCAATTCGCTTCACATGGTTATATCGCGCGTTTATATTTCTTGCCTCTCTATGTGCATCTTTACAACACGCGTGATAAATTGTAGAAAATAACGTATACTGAACTTATATCTTCACGAACGTGGACGTATTTATTAAACCGTGCAATATGGAAAGTGTTTAGCGCCAATCCCTGGTTGTTAACCGTTAATACGGCATTAATTTGCGCCTGGGCAAATGTATAATTCCAAAATTTTTTAAAACGATCCGCAAAAGTCATCCGTGAAAGGTGAACTTTAATTCTTCTTAATATAGTAGATTTCAAAATATTTAATTACAGTTTCTTTAAAAAAATTTGAATGTATTTTTGAAAAATGTTCATCGCCCAATTATGGAAGAGTGTAATATGTTTAAACTTTCTAAAATAATACTGGAAATAAATATCTCGATAAAGGAGCTTCGAAGTAAAATTTTAAGAGTCAACACAAAATCTTTTGTCGCACAGAAAATTACTTGCCATGTACCATATATATTATGTTTTTATTTTATATTGTTATTATGTTAATAATATCTTTCTCTTTTCTTAATGATACGTGCCTCTTTTTCCGACTTTCAAATATTCCTAATTTCTTTATTCTTGACACCCTAAAGAGTGTTTGTCTATTTAGACAAATGGACCGCTTTAGTAAAGGTTAAAAGCAATTTGATCCGATAAACCGGGCGACTTGTTTGCGCAATAGTAAACTCCTCGGCGGCCGCTACACATCGCGGAATATTAGGTACGAATTACCACTTGCAATAACAGTAATCTTCATTCGTCGGCCTGCTTTTAGCCGTAAAACGGCCGCGGAGAGTCCCTTGCGGTCGCCGGGCTCTGTATTTACGTTGCGCTTCGAGCTCTCGCGGCTGCGAACCTTTCAATATAGAAGGATCTTCGTCGGCGGGGATTATCCGCACGCAACTCGTCGTTTCCACCGCAAGAGAGCCGATAACCACAAAGCAATAATTAATTACCGTCGGCACCGATACGCCGATTTATCGACGATTAT